ACTTTCAAACAACCAAAAACGGAACCGGTCAAAACAACTTCCATACATGGAGTTGTTTAGCGACAGTTAACAACTTGGCTACGCCACTGCTCTCCGATTTTCCAATCAAATTTTTTCATTAAAATATCAGGTCAGCTGATGCAATCGATCACAAATACACCGATAAGACTTATCAGTGTTATGTGATTCAATGACTTTGGTTAAATTAAATGTTGTAGGCGTTAGCTTTTATGATATAAAACTTGTTCGGGTACCTTGTCCCTAATTTAACTGTCAATCATCCAAGAATTGTGTATTAGTCGGCAAAAAATTCGTTACGTAACAGTTGAGGTCGCCACAGAGAGATTATAAACACCAACAGCTGAGATTATCATCGCTAACGATTTAAATATTTTCACTTGATTTTTCTCGACGAGGAAGGAGGAAAAGGCAAGCCACAAAACGAGTCGAACGTGTGATAAGGAAACTTTGTAAATGTTGTAAAAATCGGCGAATGCTCTTTTATGGTCCATTGTTTGGTGTGAAATAATACAATAGCGATATCCGCGCACACAAATTGCTACAAAAGACGTCGGGTTTGAACGAATCGGAGGTGTAAAAACCCAACTAATTGATTACACACCCCGTGGCCAATAATCGCGAATATCACTTAGTTAACACATGATGACGTGGCAATTCTCATCTTGCTGTTTACCGAAGATTGCATAATGGCGACCATTGTTGGACCCTAGCCCCTTTTAATGCCTTTATAAACTGCCTTCCGTTTCCTTACAACGATAACATCGCACCTGGCTGTGCCTACACAACAAATCTCCCCTTTTCCTTATACCACACCATTCCACCTTGTACCTAATTATCATACGGGATGGGAAGAGAGAAAGAAGAAAAAGCAACAACTTCAAAAAGCAAATCTTCACCTGGTCGCGCTTTATTTCAAATAATACGTAAAACTTCTCATAATACAAACCGGACCAGGTAAAGAGATTTACGGCCTGCACAAATGCGACAAAAGAACGCTTGGCCTTGCACGACCCTTCCAACTAGTTTAAAGTTGCAGCTTGAGCCACTATTCTATTGAAAAACGAATAACACCCTTCCTAGAAAACTTTCAATAGATTTTCAAGTGCATTTTCTACGACTACCTGGGGTCATGTGCAAGTTCAAACATGAAGTGTTTTGCTTCCTCATTCCGATAGTCGATATAAATTCGATTGCGTGGGAACAAGCGCCTCCGCCAAAAACAGAAAAATCGGAGAAATCTTGCCCCCCACGCTGTACTTTCAATCAGAACTAGTCTATTGAGAAGAATTTGCAATGTCGTTGCCATCAGAATCAACTATAAATAACACTGCCTAGGAGGAGATAAAACCGGTTCAAATATGAAAGCCATTTTGCATACCCAATCTGTTAAATTTGCAAAAAAAAAAACGCAACGAATGCAAATTAATTCAACTGTCAACCACACGAAAATAATTCACATGACCACAATTGTCTCATTGCGTCAAAAGAGGATCATAAACAGCAAGTTTTATGCTAAAGACGTGGTCTACACTAACTGGAAAAGAGTTGAAAATATGCCAAATTACGCGTAAATATTATTTCACCTCAAAACAAAGCAAATTTTCAATGTAGAAAAATAAACGGTTTCTGGCACTAACTCAAAGTCAAAATATTGACGAAATTGTTTGTTTTTAAAGTCTCGGCTAACGAACCTTGACGATTTTTTGTTGTGTCTAATATAACTTAAAATACGTGTCGTGTACCCGAAATTAAAATAATAATTAACCGAACTCATTTAGTTAGTATTTGATCCATATCAACAATTCAGTGTTTGTACAATTAATGGCCCCCAACTAGTTTAAATCAAATAAAACTCCCATTTATTGCTTGATTTCGGGGGTAAGGGAAATTAATTACAAAAAAAAACTACTTCCAAATCGATTATCATACATATTATTTCCTGGCAAATAAAACGACCAATAATAAAGAACAAGCGCAATCATGTGACACATCACATGTCACGGTCATAACCATTCCATTGGTCCACGTTTAACAACCCCTTTGAAAAGTAATTCAGAGGCGGTGACATTGCCCTTTTCCGCTATAGCAGGGTCAGACGGTCGAAGGGGCGCCGCCGAATAATGCGGATGAAATTTCTCATCGGCGTTCACGATTATCAGTTCCGCAAATGGAAGAAACACCCCAACAAAATAATTTTTATTCCAGCTTTTATAAAGCCAAAAATTGTTTAGGTATCTATCCACGTTTTGTATTCAAATTTTGAAAAAGTATCAGAAGAAATATCTATCTAAGATATTTTTATCATTTTCCCCTCGACAATTTTTATTACGGTAATTTTTATGGTGGTGTTTGTTAATCGCTACTTTTTTCTCCTTTAAACAGTGTTTTCTTGTATCTAATTTGTCACCAAGATCCAGTTGTGACGAAAATATTATTTTTATAGAAAAATATTCACTTGTGACTTATCTGAGTACCAAAAAATGCAAAAAATGCTGTTTTTGTACTACATGTTGAAATTTACATTGTAACACAATTTTTTACGACAATTTAGGGATCATTAATACAATATTGCGCAAGCAGTTCAATAATATACCCGCGCCTCAGAGAAAAATTTCAAGTAAGGTAAGATACCATGAATATGGAAAAATTCAATCTGTCAAAAAACTTTAATATTTATTTTTTAACATTTGACATTTTTTATGATCTTGTTTTTTTTTACAATTATTTAGTAAAGGTACAAAAATTTTGACAATAAAAGCTACAAATAACATTGCACAGAGTTACAATTTAGAATACATCAGCTTCCTTGTTTCCTCTTTTAATAGCCTGTAGCAAAAAACTTGGAAAATTATTTTTCCAACAGAAATAAATAGAGTCAAAGTGCAAGTGCAACCCTTATAACTTCGAAATTGTTATTGATAAAAAAAATTTAACATTTTTACCATGATCCTGGTATCTAACCTTATATTGCATTTTTCTCCTGGGGCGCAAGTTCTGGCGCACCTGTATAAAGTTTGAAACAAAATATGAAACCCATAGTTTGATTGCTTTTTAGTTATTCTTCTTAAAAAAACTAATTAATGCATAATAATTTGCATTTGCATTTTCTGTGAATTATTTGTACATATGTATACGTATTTATTATTTTTTAAGGGAAAGCCACTATAATGTATGATTTTTTTTTCGATAAAAAAAGTTCCTATAGACATACGTCTGAAAATGCCTCCTGAGGGGACTAAAGATGACAATCAAAACGTATTTTTTTCAATTTTCTCAGTAGACGGTTGGTAAATTTATAAAAATTTAGATTCCAGGGTAATTTTTTGTGTATTCGCATTTATTGACTAATTTGCTTTAAAAAATTTTTCTTGTATGTATTATTTCTATATGTTGTTTCGTTTTCGAGATTTTAACTAAATCGTGCACCAACCGAAGTGACGCATTGCGTAGGTTGTGAAAAACAAAAAACAACCCTCGTATTTTATGTGACAAATAAGAGTTACCTATTAATATATGTGTAAGAGCACGTGATTTCTTTTAAATAATCTCGACACTTTTAGGAAACATTTTCAGGCATAAGTCCATAAAAACTTTTTTTCTTATTTTGAACTAAGAACATACAACTATCTATTATGTATTCACAAAACTCCCGTGACGTTTACAATGTCAAACCAAAATTTTTGAGTGTATCTTAAGACTATTATTTCAACTGACTGTACTTGATATCAAATTTCCATGGTACACGGCACATGTGTCAAACGATAATAATCAAATCATTTCAAATCAAGTGATAGCAACCAGGTTGTTAAACTTTGAGTGAAATTGTTACCAACATAGCTATAGTGACTTTTTGTTTAACTAACTTAACGTCATTTTGACATATCGGGAGTTTAGTGAATATATTATAAATAAGATTCAATTTTTGTTACAAAATTTCATGTTGCCATTTAAAAAATGCTTTTGATTACCTTTTTACGACACTTTGTTTGTTTTTATCAATAATTTTTTTCTGAAAGCAAGTTGTTTAAGCTAAAACGCTTGTTTCATACTCGTACTTTTTGTCCAGTGTCAAGAACCCTATTTTCATATTCTAATTGAAAAAAAAAAACTAAAAAAACTGAACTGGTTATTTTCAGTTGCTATTTTTATATTTCTTTTAACAAATGTATTGAAAATTAACATGTTGTTTGCAATTCTTGTTAAAATTTTCAGCTTTTCGTAGCCACCCTAATTTTATGAAAATTGTATTTTTGGCATCTAGTTTGAAAAAAAGTTACTCACAATTCGTGAATGCGTATTATAAATTAAAAAAATTTGAAGGACTAAAACAAAAAACTTGCTCCTATTTTGCAAGTGAAATAAATTGCAATAAATGAGTGAAATCGCGTGGTGTCTCATCTCAGCCCGGTGTTATATTTCCATGAATGAAAACTTAATACACAACTTCCTTTGCGTAAATTGTAAACAAATCGGTGTAATGCGGTGTCAGTAACCGTTGCAGATTTCTCTACTTTGCATGAAAATGTATGAAAAAGTGCAGCTCGCACGCTAGCGGGGGCCGTAGAAAGCGGCACCGGGCGTGGTACGTTTGCATCACCCACGTGGCTCGAATACCACACAACCTCGTCTCTGATTCACGATCTGTAATTATCCCAGACCCAAATCGTCAGCTGTTGGTTTAGATCACGCTCCATCGCGGTCATATGTTCGTCTGAATTATCCATAAACACCTACGTAATTGAATTGCATCTAAAGGCCGGTGTGCACAAGGTGCATGAAGATGGGCACCGACGCCACAAAATGGCGAACCAACAGCTGAGCCGGCGTTGCATCGCGAAATTTCGATAAGGCGGCCGAGTCTCGACCGATAGCGTTTGTTAGTTGCCGCGTAACGTTATGCGAGTTTGACGTACCATCAAAGTCAAAAAGTACACAAATGTCAAAATCACATGTCAAAAAGGCGGTAAAAACGCACTCACCTCGACGCGTTTCCCAAAAGCTCTTTTTTCTCCTCGGAGATGCCGTCGAACACTATTTGCTCGTCGCCGGCATAAACAGACATAATCTTCGCACCCCAAAAGTGTGCAATCACTGACAACGTTTCCTATTTAAAAAAAAAAAGTTTCTTCACTTTGGTATTTCACTAGTACGCTGCAGCGCGGGATGACAAACATACGCTACGCCTCACAGCGGTTTTCTGGTAGCGGCGTTTGGCGGGAAACAGCTGAGGCCTGGTTGACGCCAATGTAATATTCATACGCACACTTGATTACACCAAATTTACGCAAAAATGCCGCTCTTGCACCACAACACCAGACAAATGCACACACAAGGCCCAAAACCAGTCAATAATTCACAAAAGGTCGATCGGGGGGCACTTTTGGGGCTTATTACATCGGCGTACTATTTACGGCGCGGAGGAAAGTTGTCGGGAGCCGATGTTCGTCTGCCAGCTGGCGGCGAAGCCCCGCCCATGGAGTATAGACCACAGCGTTTCTACGCTACGTCCTTCCCGCCAACTCTGCCTTCCCTTCCCTCCAAAATTGTACAATTTTCAGAAACATCAAAAATCATGCACTACTCACACAAAACCCTTAATTTACACTGAAATTGTATTTTTTGCCGCGAGTAAAAGAATTCGCAATCCATTCATTAAAAAAGTATTCATAAACTGTTTTTTGTCGCGTATTTTCATTCAAATTATTACAACTAGTCAACGAGTGGGTTCAATATCTAAAATTAAATATTTCACAAATCGTAAATTTAAAACCCACACGCCGAACTAATTAATTAAAATTGGATCAATTATACGACGGGCCAAATTAAAAATGCCACCGATTCTTATAAGAATTCCCACTCGACATAACGACCATCTTGAAGAGCCCGTCGCCCGTGGTTTAATAAACGATTTACTCCGATTCTGTAATGTGAGGAATTTTAAAATTTAATTTCAAAGTCAATAACCTACGTTGTGAGTATAAGGCGTACTTGTTTAATTGCGAAATGACAAAATATGAGTGGCTTCAACGTTAATCTTTAATAATTTGGGAGAGGTCAGGAATCGAGCAATGGTTGCCAAATTTCGAAATAAATTTGCATGTCGACCGGTGAATAATTTATAGTGTTGCTCAATTAAAAAAACAGAGTTTTTCGTTTAGTTGGATTGAGGAGGAAATTGTCACCTGGCATGTCGTAAGAAAATTTATAACGGTGCAAAAAGCATTCCCGATAATGATAAAAATTGAACATGTCGTAAAAGCATTAACTTATTTGATGTTGGGTGTTAAACGAAGTAAAATAGAAAATAACGGATAACAGCGAACTGTACTTTTGATAATCGTTTTAAAGAGTGTACAGGTAATTGTTTTTATCACAAGATTAAATCTACTTACGTGTTGCGTTGCTAAAAAATTGAGACATACCTTTGCTTCTTCCTTGAGATTCTAAAAAATTGAGGTGAAAGTAAACAAAAAGACTTATTTTTTGACCATCTGTATTTCAAAATGTACCTAATGAAATATCATGTGGTTGGCTGAGAAATGCAGAATTTGTTCTAATTTCCGTACTTATTTTTCATATTTCTAAGAAGTCAAAAAATAAGTACTCGTATAAAATAAACTGTGTATAAGCATAAAGTTCAATACAAGAGTTAATAAAAAGAAATCCGATTTCATAATTTGATAGCACAATGTGCTAAAAACTAAGAATAGGCTTACAGTTACAATTTTTGTGATACATCTACTGTTACCAAATTATCAAAAATGTAGTTTGTTGTGAAAAAGCTAATTTTAGTCGTTACAATCACCATATAATAAATAAGTAGAACTTAACATAGCGAATACAAATTGAAAAAAAAAAGAAATAAATTTCCGGGCGACACACAAAATTAAACTAGTTGATAAATACCAAGCTTAATATAAAATATTTTAAGACCTATTTTTATATACACACTGTTAACAGATTTAGGCACTATAAAAACTTTTTGATATTTGCTTTCATATGGCGAATTTGCGCTGGATTTACTTTTATTTTTAACTGTTGTATGAGATCGAATATTTTTAGGGAGGGCCCTACTTTACCCCCTGTGTATTCTAAAATATCTTCCTTACTGAGATTCATCAACGTTTTACCGTCCACTTTCTGCAAAACAACAAAAATTAGTCATTAGCGTGTCTTAAATAAATTTTCAAGACCTGTTTACTGAAAGAGTCGCAATAATTTGCACAATCATTAACCCTTAAAAACTGTGCAACGTCGTAAATATTCCATTCGTCTGGACACAATTCGCCAGTTTCGCTACTTGTTCCTGTACTATCCACTAAACGAGGTATTAATTTTGTACTTGTTGTATTTGTTGCCTGCAACAAAATCGTTAAAAACCCTTTAAAACGTGAAAATTTAGTACATTAATATAGGATGTTGCTTTGCGTTCTGGAGGCGGATTAGCCTCGGACGAGACTGGCAGACTCTGATCCGGACCTGCAGGTTCTTGTCCTGCTTCCGGCCCTTGATTGTCATCAGCAACTTCCATTTCTTCTCTCTCAATTTCCGCTTCCGTCAGCTCAGCTTTGATCACTTTCGTGGCCGTTTTCGGTGAGACATCTTTGATTTTCTTTTTACGTCCTCTTTTCTTCATCCCTTTGGGTAACTTCGCGACCGGAGTGCTGGGTTTTGGAGGGACAATCGGCGGTCCTTCGAGTTTGTGTCCCACACTCTGGCACCATCCCACAGGATAAATATCGGGACTTTCGCAGTCCAACCACTGGTCATACTCCTCCTCCCATCCATCAAAATGCACTTTCAACAATCGCCCCGCAACTTTCGCAATAGTTGCCACACAGACCAATCTGGGGTCCATCAAATCAGCCGCCTCGATTTTCATTCCGGGGACGAATCCGTGCATAGGGATGAAAGACGTGAACAGGCCCGGACTAGCTGCAACATTGTTGGTTTCCGCGAGATAAGTCCTCCAGTTGAAGGTGTCTTGGTCGTAGCCTTTGGGGGGTGTTAGAGGAATGTCGTATTTTTCGCAAAAACCAACGGGGAAAATGCATGGGGATTTCACGTGATAGCAGAACCAATCGGCTCCAGTCATATCCGATTCGTATGTGTCTATCCGGATCATGATGTAGCCGTGACGTAAGACGTTCATTACAGTGGCGACGCATATCGAGGATAAGTTGAGTGGGTCGATTGCTTCGAGTTTCATTCCGATGCAGAAACCGCCGTCGGCGGTGGGTTCTTTTGAACCGACTTGGAAAGGCGTGAAGAGCTCATCAGTGGCGTCGTCTTCGTCGTAAATGCAGTGATTGACGCGCTCCAAGTAGTTCACGGGGGCTACCAAGTGGTGGCCAACCTGGGAAATAAAGAAACAAATTTAAAATTATTGGCTTTTAACAAACAATTAACGAGACTAGCTTTCATAAATAAATATTAATACTACTACTATTAAATAACAAACCAAAAGACTCCTTAAAAATGTATTTTCTAAAAACATAACACCACACTTTCTGTTAATAATTTATACAGGCTATAACCGAACAAATTACAGAGAGTTTATAAAAGAACGTATATAAAGAGTATTGTGAAAATTTCATGAACGTATGTCTTGTAATTTGGTAAGTTTAATAAACTGTCAAAATATTTATTAACGATATACTTACTACAGATGATTCTAGAGGTCCTACAGACTTAAAAACGTGCATTATGCGCTTTTATACGTTATTGGGTCTAATTAAAAAAAAAAGATTTTCTTGGTTTTTCTTTCGTAAAAATGGTTGTATTGAACAACTTTTTGTTGCAAAAACACTTGAAACATGGTATTCTAGATGTAAAATTACGCGATTAACACGTTGCAACAGATAAAAATGCTCTACGAAGCGTAGTTTTTGAGATATTGAGTAATGAAGTCATACAGTTTTTAAGTTATGAGCTTTTTTTTATTAAAAACTAAAAATTTTTTTGACCTAAGTCGATAGTTTCGTAGAAAAACGGATTTGCATTTCACTATTTTGAAAATTTTTATTTTTTGAACAACGATTACGACCAAACTATTAAACTTAAAGCAAAAAGCTCAACACCATCGTAATCAGCGTATGAAAATCTATCGATTGGCGCCAAAACCAAGTCAATATCTCGTAAAAAAACAATTTTTAAATGCCGATGACGGCGAAACTAGAGGAAATAGCGCAAAATGCTTGACTAATTCGTAATCAACGCGTCAAAATCTATTGGATAAGATAAGTTTAAATTGAATCTGAGAATTGTTTAAAATTGCCATTTTTAAACGTATTCAAAAATTTTCACACGTTTTGACGTTGTTTATTCCGGCTAAAGTATATTAAAAACGGTTTATATTTTGTTTTCTACCTATGTAAAATATTCCGGGGAGTCGATTGGTGTCAAGAACACCACAAAATTATTGATAATTTAGAAGTTATTGTCGAATTAATATTTTTGCTATTTTTGTCTTTATTAGCGATTTTCTCAATAACTACCGCAGAACTATGTTCATTTTTTATAAGATAGGAAATTAAAAGTGCTTTCCAACGAAACCAAACATAAAACAGATATCCAAAAAAAATCAAAGTTATTAGCTGATATCCGCTCCGAGTACAGACAATCACCGAAAATTTTAACCAAAATCGAAAAAATTAAATTCTTCAAAATTCAACCAAATGCACTCCTAGAGATCCAAGAAACTTAGAAAAGTGCAAAAATGTTGTAAAATACTTAGAAATTTGTATAAAACGTTATAGAGTTGATTACAAAAAAAAAAAAAACGATTATTTTGAGTTTTCGTATCGTGAAAATGGTTGAACAATTTTTGGTCCAAAAAACATTTGAAACATGGAATTCTATACATAAAGTTACACACTGAACACGTAGCAACAGGTTAAAATGCTCTGCGATGAATAGTTTTTGAAATATTGAGCAATAAATTTTGTCAAAAATCGAAAAATTGATATTTTACTTTCGAATTAATTCAAAAAGCACTTTTAGAGTTCCAAGAGTGCATAAAATGTTGTAAAACTGATTTTAACAACTCAGAAAAGTGCACAAAACGTTATTGGAACGAATGTAAGAGAGATCGATTTTCTTAAGTTTTTGGAGAATAGTAAGCAGAAATTCCAAATGGTCAAATCACTTTTTGTTGTAAAAACGCTACTCTTCTATACCACACGATGCAATAGGTTAAAATTATCTGCAATGAATCGTTTTTGAGATATTGAGTAATAAGGTAATAGTAATAAGAGTAATAAGACTAGGACTACAAGCATTTGAAGCGTATCAAATTGAAACATTTTGTTATCATCAAACACACCGACCCGTTTATTATTGTTACAAGTCATCTTGTGCCATAATCATTATAAAAACCAAATCAACAATAGAAACATTAAATTAAGTAAAAAAAAACAAATTTGAATATAATTTTTTCTACTACTCACCTTCTTGGCCCACCCGACCGGATGGAGAAGAGGGGAGTCTTCATGACACCAGAAGCCGGCATCATCAGACGGCATATTGAAATACTTGACGTTCAATCTTTTCCCCACGATCTTATGAATAATAGCAACCTTAACTTGCGATATCCTATTTTTGTCGACAACTTCTAAATTAAGGCCGCATTGAAACCTAGATTTAAGACTATCACTTGCTTTATTGCTAAAATTCGAGGGTAATGTGCGCGCCCCCGTCAACCTTTTACTCAAAAAATCCTTCCAATCGTTATATTTATCCTCGATTGTTTTTGGCGGAATCAACGGTTTTCCCCTCGTGGCGCACCACCCGACCGGATGCACCTGATTCGAACACAACGAGACCCAGAAATCTTTGGAATCATTCGACCCGAACCCCTCGTACCGCAACAACGCTTTGTACCCCACGATTTTCAAAACGGTCGCTACCCAAAACGAGTCAGGAAACGCCTCAGAGACGTTATCACAATCGGTATTCTCCACTTCGACTTTCATCCCAACCATGATGTTTTCCCAAATGTCGGACATGGGGGCATGTTTGAAACACGTGACAGGGGCCGCGACGAAATATTGGTCGTTCAATTGCGAGTCCCAATCGTGCGAATTCGCCAGTTCTGACGGCTTGCGCCTGATTAGAGGGACAGTCTCGTCGATGGGGGGCAGCACGGGCGGCGGGGGCACCTGAGGGAACTCCTGGTCCACGACGGTGTTGGCGAAATCGTCCTCGGTTTTCATGGTAAAGCGGTGTTTGGCAAAATGGTGGGTCTCGGGGGTTTGTTGTTGAGACAACGGGAGGGGCTCGGGGATCAAACCACTGTAGCCCCTAGCACAGGCCATGCTACAGAAGCGACGCTCCCGCGTGTAAAATGCGTGCTTTACGCCAATGGCCCCACATTTTTCACACACAGCTTACAACACAAATTACAATTAGGATTAAATACATTTTGGAAACTGATTTACCAATTCCATCCTTCTGGATTGGTATGACTGATGGGTCCGTATTGCTCTGATAGGCTATTGGTGTTTTTAAAACCAAACCTGGATGTTTGATTGGTTTGATTTTTCGTGTGGAGCAAGGTAATGTTTGAGTGGCAGTGTTTATCATATATACAGGGTTTTGACTATCATCTTCGGCATAACTTGAGTCGTTACTTTCATGTTTCATATCAATATATTGCATCATGTCTAAATTTTCCATGCCGTCCTATAAATAATCCTCTAAACACCAAAATAGAGCAAAAGGAGGAGTTTACCATTTGTGAGCTGTGGATTGTGTGGATATCGTCCATGGACTGATTGGACATGCTGTGTATAGATGGGGTGAAATATGGGTTCTCATGTTCCAGTAACATGTCCGAGTTGTCTCCTGACATTAACTCCATGGACATATCGGGATTGGGCTGGCCGGCACCCATCCACACCATACCCATATCAGCCACTCCAGGCATTGTGTACACTAAAATCAATGTAATTGTCTAATTATATAACCTAGAATTTTAAACCAAGACAAAATCAATCACTTTTAATCTATTATTCAAAACTGCTCCAACATCGGCTCTGAATTAAATCGATAAATAACCAACTGACACCAAGTAATTATTTAATTACAAAACGTGAATTGTAATTACAAACAAAGAATGCAATGTAATTAACTGGAAGAATGGCATGCAATTCTTCGTCGTTTTATTAAGATTGGAAGAAACCCATACTAAATAAATAAAATTGTACCGTTCATTCCTGATGCTCAAATTTATTTCTATCTAATGCGAAAAACGAACTGTAATAATTTTCATTTATAAAATGTGGTAAAATTTACACTCAGCCTGTCCACCAAACGCATCATTTGTGAATTTTTTGAGAACATCTGCTACCAGCCAAAGGAAATGCATCGACAAAGTCCCCAAAACACTGACACTTCACGAATTAGGCGCCAAATTAAAAAAAATATATTTTTCACTAATTTTTATCGACATAATAACAAATTATGACTCACTGTACGCATTATCACGACCTTTATGAATGCAAATACGATACGATACAATAATTAACCCACAGTGACTAAACATTTTTGGTCAAAATTTATCAGTTACGAAATTTTTTTATTATAATATTGTAACGATACAGACATGACGCAAGAGCAAACCTTGTAACTTGTACCTGATAAAACATTAATAAATGAGCAAAATCATTAGTTACAATTTGTAAAAAGCTGTGTTATGATTATGAATTAGGAGTGTTTCATCCACTGAAAAAAAACTCTCTTAATTACCCAACCAAAAACACGATGAATATTGAAGAAATTGCAATAACTGTACCCTGGGGCCACCTAGCAGGTAAAATTTCTTGACACACATCAAATTTGTTGAATTTGAGGTTATGTCATTGTAGCCAAAATATGGGGCAACAGAAATGACCCCCTCGTGCTCGTTTTTCACGGAATTATGGATAATGCCGGCTCGTTTGACAGATTAATTCCACTTCTTCCAAACTCATTTTGCTATGTTTGTTTTGATTTACCGGGGCATGGGAAATCGAGCCATTTCCCCCCATTTTTCCCTGCATACACTCTTAATAATGTTATAGTGTACAAATTAATAATGCAGTATTTCAAAAAGGACAAATACACAGTCTTGGGGCATAGCTACGGGGGCCAGATTGCGTTCTTATTCGCCCAATTGTACCCAGAATATGTGGAAAAATTGATCATGTTGGACACTATCCACTTATTCCCCGTCCATTCGGGCCAATTCCGTCAAAACCTCAGGGACAAGATGGACTTTTGCATCGATTTAGACAAGAAAATGAAGACCGGGACCAGGCCCACATACACTTACGCCGAGGCTTTGCAGAAGTTGCAAGATCAAAGGGCCAATGGATACATCAGTCGTGAAGCTGCTGAGGCTTTGCTGCAAAGGGCAATCGAGAAAACCAACGACGGAAAATACGCGTTCACAGTCGATCAAAGAATGAAACAATTTATAAACCCTATTCACGATTTCCGGTACATGCTAGAAACGCTTAAAAAATTCCCTGTCACTTGCCCAGTCTTGATGATTTTGGGGCGCGACTCCGAGCTACAGCAAATCTACATGAAAGGTGTTACAAACTTCCTGAAAAAATATAAAAACATTCGGATAAAATACGTGGATGGACACCACGATGTTCACAATAATAGCCCCGAAATTGTGGCACCACACGTGTCCAAGTTTTTGGTAATGAAAAAAGCAAAATTGTAAATCTTGGGTAAAATTTAATTACAATTATACATGGGTATGAGGGGAGCAGCACTTAATAAAAAAGACTGTGATAGTCTCTTAGTAAAAACAATTACATGACACATTTATGCACTAACTAGGTAATTATGCAAATTTTTTTACATATTCTTTTACCCTGAGACCGATTTTAAATAAAAAAAACCTGTTACGAATTTGCGTATTCTTGCATAAAAACCTAATGGGAATACAAAATACTACTTTGAAACGAATTACAGCTAAACATCACAGTTTCTTGTACACATTAAACAAAGACAATTAATCACAATACAGTTTTAAATATCCTTCGAGTCTCATAATGTGAATCATCACTTTTTCTCCAGTTTTAACTATTTTCGGGTTATTGAGAAGAAGTGTGCAGGCCCTATCATAATGCGTACTGTTTAAAGTATTAAATACGTTGTTTTCATCATCAGTAAATTGTATATCAAACCAGTAGAGAATCCCATTACAGGAACCATCCTTAATCACATCGGCTTCCATGTGAAAATCAAACTTGTACATATCGCTTATATCGAAAGAGACCACAGAAGAATGTTTCTCATGTTCAAGAGATTCAAGATTTGGATGTTCATTACCCTAGAAAAAGGAATTAATTTCTCCTAAGACAAATCTAGAAGAGAACCCACCGAAAAATCATTAATTTTGTCCGCTATATTAAAATTCAGAGCCTTGTTGTCGTCAACTTTGTTGCAAATGGTTAAATAATTCGAGCTGATGAGTTGAGCGTAGAGAAAAACTTTTTTCGGTAAAGATTCACAATTTAGTTTTGCTTCAGTTTCAAGCGAAAACTCCTGTTTGTTCCAAGAACCGTCGGTTTTTACCAAATCGAAGAAAACGATATTAGGAGGCTCCAAAAACACCATGTAGTCCTCCACGGCACGATGGTAAATAAAGATGAATTTGTAATTCGAGAGTTGGTTGAGACTCATCACATGGTTGAATAAACTCAAGTCGCTCTCGTCGTTGTACACGTGATAGACTGTGGCCCCTTTTTTCGCCATTAGAAAACCAAACAAGGGAAAAACATTGAAATCTATTACTCTTACATCACAATTTTCGTAACTATCTGCAGCTTTGATAACAGTCTGGACTAGTTTAGTGTCGTTGAGGAACGATATAATTTCCTTACTGACTTCAAAACACTGCTCACACGGATTATCGTGGCTTAAAACGTCGAAATGGATTTGACCCTCCACTATTCGCGGTTTGAGTCTAAGAATATCACCAGAAGCCACTTCAATTGGGTGATCCAAATGGACAACACCTTGCTCCCAACACTTGACGTTTGAATTGAATGGATTTGTTGAAATTGTGATTTCTTCATCTAAACGAAGATCAAACCAAATGGCTAACGCGTGAATTGTGCCCTTCTCGGTGCAAACTAACTCGATTTCGTTAATACAGTCACTGTCAGGTGTCAATAAAGCGCTCAATTGCTTCTTATTATAGAAATTAACTTCCAGAAAAGTCTTTGTATCAGACATGTACTTGATCGGTCTTTTGTTCAAGTACTCAGCATCATAGGGCTCAGGATCAATTTCAACTAAACAAATATTTTCAAGATTTAATTCTCTTAACGATTCGGTGTACCGAAACTTTCTTGTTAATTCATGACTCTCGAAAGCAGTGACATAAAGTTTAGCACTTGCAGGAATTATTCGAAACTTTTTGGAAACAAAGTGCTCAAGTGCATAGTGTATGGTTTTCAGACAGTCTTCTCCGAAAACAGCAGCATCAAATATTTCAGTCACGACGAGATTACAGGGGGCAGGGGGCGCAGTTACTGTGTTCGAATTACAGTGGATTATATTGACATTTTCATAGCCCCTTGCCTTGCACAAGTTCTGTGCTATATCACACAAAATCTTATTCTCTTCCATGCCGGTTACCCTAACATCTTTACGATGGCTTGCCGATATTAAAGACAAAAGGCCGCACCCACACCCTATATCGTAAACGTTTTTGAAGCCTGAATCTAGCGCTTTGTGGATTGCATCCCTGAAAAATTCGTTTCTTTGTTGGTCATTCAACATCCTAAAATGCCATCTTGGTATCAAGTGCCAAATAACGTGTAAAAAGTTTTTCTCAGCCGGTAGGTAACCCTCAGCTGCGGCTTTCTGCAAGTAGCATCTAGCAACAGTGTATTCCCCCTGACTGAAAAAATATACGCCAAAGGCGTTTAGGAGAATGGCGTTGTTTGGGAAACTATTGAGCATTGTTAGGTAGCATTTAATAATTTCATTGTCAACCCCAGCAACTTGTTCAACAACGTTACTGCTGAGACTCATGATTAGTTTTGTTAAATTGATCTGTTCTACCAATTGCATGTCATGGGGAGTTCTCAAGTTGTCTATATAATTGAGGTACTGCTCAATAGCGCCGACTTTATTCCCATTTGCGAGTTCTTGTCGAACCTTGGCTAGATAGTACTCGGGCCTGACCAGGATCTTTATTTCGCCCACACGGGGCACACGCTCATCCGTATCCACTAAAAAATGATAATAGTGTCCTAAACTTACATTTCTCAACTTACTGTTATCAAAACTCGCAAAATCCACAAATAACGTTCACAATGATGTTTTTTTATTAAACAAAAAACACTTTCCGGTCATTTCATATTTCAAAGATGTCAAACAAACGTCATCTGTCAACACGACAGCTGACATTTTAAAAAATGGCGGTTTAAATAGGTGTAAACCTAAAATTGACAACGGTGCCCCAAACTTTCAACATTCCTAAACTTTCTGTTATTAAAACTAGCAAACTCCACGAATAACGTTCACAATGTTGTTTTTTTTTGTTATTAAATATGAAATATTTTTTAGAATTGTCGAATGTCAATAAATGTCAAACAAACGTCAATACGTCGGCTGTCAAAATTTTGAAAAATGGCGGTTTATGTTGACGTGAACCTCGACCGAAGTTGGAAAATGTTATTTCCGTTAATCGTTAGCGCCTTTATGTCCACAGTGGCGTACATAATAACGGTGCGCCTTATTCCCAAACTTAGAGACATGTTTATCAAAGCTAACCTTTTCGGGATTGACATGAGCAAAACAACTAGTGAAAAAGTGTAGGTTATGTCACTTTCACCGCTTGAAAATTTTCATTGTTTTTGCAGGCCTGAATCTTTGGGTGTTGTAACAGGATGTACGTTTTTGATAACAATGTTTTTATTCATTCCTGTACCTTTTGGAAGTAGTTTGTTTGATGATGAAAGTTTTCCGCACGATGAGGTAATAGTTGGGCAAGAACAAGTGTAGAGACTTAATTTGGGGTTTCAGTTCGTGGAGTTGATAGCAGCATTGTTGTCGATTTGTTGCATGTTGCTGCTGGGGTTCGCTGATGATGTTTTGGACCTAAGGTGGAGGCACAAACTGCTGTTGCCCACAATCGCGTCTCTGCCCCTTCTGATGGTCTATTATGTTAATTATAATTCCACGGTGATCATAGTTCCAAAGCCGTTAAGGGAAATTTTCGGTTTCTCAGTCAAAGTGGGGATTTTTTATTATATTTACATGGGGATGTTAGCGGTGTTTTGTACCAACGCTATTAATATATTGGCTGGAATTAATGGACTTGAAGTGGGGCAAAGCGTCATCATTGCTATGTCTATAGCAATGTTCAACCTTGTTGAACTTTCAGGAAGCTTGTGGAAGGCTCACCAGTTTAGTTTATACTTCATGTTGCCATACATAGGAACCACTTTAGCTCTCCTCAAACATAACTGGTAAGTTAGGGGTGTAGTAGAGAAATTCGTAAAATTTCATTTGTTTATTACATGATAAAAAGTTATTACTAGCTGATATAGCAAGGGCGATTATTTACAAGTTATCACAGCTTAATATTAGGAGGACCGCAAATCATTGCAGGACGATTTTCTCTTGAATTCCGTTGTTTCTTCAGTCTTCATCCTTCATAATAGTCTATTTTAGAATACATATTTGTGAGCAGAAAATCATAATTCCAGCTATTTTCCGATACGTAATAGGGTGCGAAATAGTTGTCGCGGTAGCGGTGCGTTCTCAGAAGTTCAGTCTTCCCATCTATATAAAGCCCATTTTCTACAAGATCTTCTAGAAAGGCATTGTCGATTTTCCTCTGTGCGATTTTCTCTAAATTAATTCCAGGTTGGGGTTTGCTTGATAAAAATTCGATTATTTGTGCTACGTCATTGCAGAATTCGCAATACCAACCACCGTAATGGTTGAGGTCTCCTAATATAATTCCCTTATTTAAAGGAGTGGACGTCCCATGAAGTGAGCTAATGTTATTATTAAAATTTCCTCTGAGAAATGACACAGAGCAAGCACCTCCTGTTATCATAGTTTTGCTCGGGTGGACCCAAAAAAATCCAAATACGGACCATCGCAAACGAAAACGGATCGGTTCCGGCCACTTTTCGTAATATTTCAAAAAAATTATTGCGAATTTATTAGGTACTTCATTTCTTTCGCTAACTAAAATCACGTCGTCGTCTCGTAAATTCCTAATTAAACGTAGTGCGTTATTTATGTTTTTCGTCTTAAGGTACAGGATTTTTTCGTGGTAGTTTTTGACGAAGTTATTGTTCAATTTACGCTCCAAAAAATCAGATCCTTCATCTTCGTACAAAACAAACAAGTCGACAATATTACCTAGTTCGTTGATTCTTATTTCGGCCATAATATCACTAAATTCATCTACTGCAAACACGTAAATGATTCTCCGTTCAAAACTCCTGGGGCCTGTTATCTTGATGGGTTTCCTATGGGTTAGAAAGGCCCTCCATATGACTTCTGGTTGTCCACAGTCCTTTCCATGCCATCCAGGAAGACAGTTACACTGCCAGTTGAAAACCTTTGAACGCTTCATTGACACTAAATCCGTGCCATTTATGTAACACAAACTTGAATTAAAATCGCTAAACTTCGTATGGGTGTTAATACTCTTCAAAAATATCCTACTATCTGATGTGTGATATGTTCGTTTTGGTTGTTCTTCATTGTGGGAGTTTATAAACGAGATTTTTTCACTTTTAATAATATCCCTGTCAACTTTTAAGTAAAAGTACGACATTATTAACAGTATTTGCGTAAAGAGTAGTATCCATACGGATAATCTCTTGTAATTTCTGTAAATTTTATTCATTTAAAATTTTACCTACATAACCTCACTTTATAAAATCTGTTATTTAAACTATTTGTGGCACCGACGACTCGTGGCGAAATTATTTGAACTCTCATAATTGTGTCATTGACCACTGATTTGTTTTATTTTGGAATTATTTCAATAAATTGGACCACCGCCCAATTTGAATTTTGACAATACGTCAATGTCAAAAATTCAGGTTGGCTTCGCTGTCAAGCATGACCAATCTAACAAAACGAAATTTAAAATTTCAGGTACCCATCGCGGGTCTTCGTTGGAGACACTTTTTGTTACTTTTCGGGGATGACCTTCGCCGTTGTTGGAATTCTAGGTCACTTCAGTAAAACCACGCTTTTGTTTTTTATACCTCAAGTGTTTAATTTCTTGTATTCATTTCCACAACTCTTTCACTTTATTCCATGCCCGAGACACAGGCTGCCAAAGTTTAATTCAAAAATCGATAAATTAGAAATAAGTACAACAAAGTTTCGTTATTCAGATTTAAGCATTTTAGGTAAATTTATAATAAACTTGTTCCGAGTTTTCAGATTAATTCAGTGGCATGAAAAAGAAGATTATGTCATTACTAATAATTTAACTTTGATTAATTTGGTTCTCTTGTATCTGGGGCCTCTTCACGAGGCCAAGTTAACACTTATATTGTTAGGTATACAAATTTTATGCAGTCTGTTGGCTTTTGTTATTAGGTATCCGCTAGCGTGGATATTTTACGATGTGTAGGATTTGCTTGATGGACAGTTTTATTATAGAAAAAAAAAACAAATATCTTTTGTATATAGATTATTTTTACCAAGACTGCTTTACATGTTTCTTGTTATGCAGATTTTATTTAATAAACATTTGTTGAAAAAATCACCAGTTTTTATATGAACCAAAAATGTTGCATAATTAATTGAAGACGAGACAAGTCCGTAAAAAATCCGAACATTTTTTCCTTATTGAAGTAAAAATGTCTCTAATTGGCTCTAATCGCAGACAATTGACTTGCCATTAATTAAATTATAATGATTTTATTCGTTCGTCGCCTTTTTTGCCCTTCTTTAAATTGACTTGAGTTACAATAAGAAATATAAACCCCAAAAGTTCACTGCACTGCAGAGATAAGCAAAGTGCACAGTGATTTACTTCCGTTTTGTTAAAAACACAAATATTTGTTGTGTAATGAAAATTAATTGTAATCTCTGTTATTAATGATGCACCAGAGGCGGTAAAAAATACAAAAATAATAAATAGGTTTAATTAATTCTAATCTAGAGATCGTTACGTCAGCGTAATTAAGAGAACTGAAAAAATGTCAACAGATGAAGACGAAGAAGATGTAAAACCTGAAGATGCAGGGGAGGGGCCTGAACCCTACCCTTATGGGGTACTTCCCCCGTTATAAATAGTCTGGATTAAAGCGTGTTTTTTTAGAAATACGAGGGTGGCAGAGACGATCAATTGGACCGGCACGGTTTTGGCAGGGCTGTTCTACCAAACGGGGATATTTACGAGGGGCATTACATGCATGGAAAACGTCAAGGGCGAGGGTTGTATGTCTTTAAAAATGGGGCTAGGTATGACGGCGAGTGGAAAAAAGGTAATTGTGTTGTGAGGAGTCCAAGTAGTTTCCTTGATTTTAACCAGGTTTGAAATACGGAACTGGTATGTTTATTTATCCCGACGGTAGCAAGTACGTTGGTGAGTGGAAACGCGACCTGAAGCAAGGCAAAGGAACCTATTATTATGTTAACGGAGATACTTATGAGGGTAGTTGGTACAAAGGATTTCGCCACGGATACGGCACCTACATTTATAAATCACTCAACGTAATTCACACTGGTAAAAGGTTTTTAACGCCCAAAGTATCTCACATTAATTGGCATTATTAGGGAATTGGAAGGACGGCAGAATGGAAGGGCCAGGAATTATCGATTACGGGTGCTACAAATATCACGGAAAGTTCGAAAAGAATCTCCCGAAAGGGCCCGGATGTTTTGTTTTCGATAATAACAAGTTTATGCAACATGGGTTTTACGTGAATTTGAGAAACCCGGCATTCGATTACGTTGGCGCTGATAAACTCGCTCTTGACGATACGAATTTAGAAAGTAAGGGAATAATATTGGACTAATAAAATTGTATTAGATGGCATCAAAGCCAGCTTTTAGTGCTCTACTTGGAAATTAGAGTCACTTCCCGGTAGTGAATTTTTTAAATTATTTTATTGGTAGGTCCAGAATATCGGGGTAATCCCAGAGGGATCGTGCCATTATGGCGAGCGAGATCTGTGAGTCTCTACAACCCCGAACTTCTACCACCGGAACCTCTAGACTTACCGATAGTTGACTCACAAGAAAGTCTTATTGATATTATCGGATATTTGCAACGATTTGATCAAGAAGGTGTGGGCGGAAAGACTGAAGAAGAAGAACAACATTTACCATCACCCGTAAACGAAAAGGGAGACGCAACGGAAGAAATGCCAGGAGACATTCCCATAAACTGACTTCAATAAATTCGTTTTATTATATTTACATTGAGAAAAATTAAGTTTCAAAAAAATAAATACCCCAATTCGCTTACTTTACAATTCATCTTCCATTTCCTGACGTTAACATTGCTATTAAAGCAGCTTTCTCCTTTTCCTTCTTCTTAACAACATCAATACATCTATTCCTCCATGTACTTTTCCGTAATTTAATTGGCCTGCTACCTACATATCGCCCTGAAAAAAGAAAAAGAATCTTTTTAGCTTCCATTGAGAAAATTTGATTTTAGTGAGAATGAAGTTTCGATTAAATTTTATTAAATTCGAAACTGGAACAAAAAAAAATTCCAGAGGGAATTTTATGTTAATAGAGGACTTGCGAGATGCGCCACATGCTTCAGTCTGATGTGAAGCGTCGGGACGCTGAGCGTCATTTCCTCTGTTGAACTTCCATGTGCCGAGACGTGAACGCTCCACATAACGCAACAGGTGAGTTACCTACTGGCCCATTTACACTAATTTTTTAAAACGAAAGCAAGCCACTACAGCATTTCTTAAATAATATTTTTATTGTTTTTTACTACCAAAAAAATCAATTCAACTATTAATAAAATTTCCTTTTAGGACCACCCACGAAAATTTTTAATTGAAGTTAAATCTCTCCTATAATTTTTGTTTAATCTAAATAACTCTGAACAGTTTTGCATGTTTTAATATTCAATAAAAATAAATTAAAATATAAAGCGACTTTTTGTTTTATTTTTAATCACATAATCTCGTGTGCTGGCATTTATGAATTATATTTTTTTATTTGTGTAAATCAAAACGAAATGTCATGCCATTTTTTGCAATAGTTACAACATTGATAACAATTCATCGGCAAATTAAATTTTTTCAAAACATCTGAATTTAGCTTAATTAATTTAATAGATCAAAGTCGCAGTTTTTTATAATGTTAATTATTATTTTTAATTAGTCACATTTTATTGATTTCTGAGAAAAATGTCTCAGAATGCAGAAATGTGTGATGGAAAAAATTTCGGTCCATAGTTTAACATCTAATGAAATAATTATTTCGCCCACAAATATTTCCGGTTCATAGTCCAACCCTTAGAAAAATTATGTAAAAACGTCTAGACCAGATTAAGACATAGTTAGGTATTTGTGTTGCAAAATATCAGAGAAAATAAAATATCACTTAAAAATAAGTTAAAACTCATGAATTTATTTCAGACTTTTGTTGTTGTTAGCGACAGGGTCTAATATTATAATTCTTATGAAACAAGCATCGCAAAATTGAAGTAATTGCAATCAAATGAGGCGTCTCAAGTTCACATCAAGAGATATTTTCTTGTATAAGATATTTTATAAGAAATCTTCAATTACTCGACTTTGTTTCATTTCTGAATAATTTTCTGAACGTAAAATACCCTTCAGTAATATTTCACTCGAGAAACATTTTCTCTGCAACATATCGCAAAAATAAAATACGTTTTACTGTCAGTTCTCTTATTAAAATTCAATGTGGTATGCAACAAATTCCTGCTTAAAACATAAACACGATCTTTGTAACTCAAAGAAACTCTTACAAAGCAATTAAGTTTCTTTTACTTTGTTCTAACACTCATTTATTATTAAGCGTTCCTTTCAATTAAAAAGGTTTAGATCGCAACTCAGAGATCAAATAAATACCTAAAAAACCTCGTAATTAAGTGATTATTAATTGCGACTTGGTTTATAAAAATTGGTGGATGCGCCGCCCGAATCTCCCACACCTAATTACTAATTATATTATTTTTGACTAATTAATACTGACGTCGCTTTAAGAGATTATTATAAGATTGTCAAATTAACTAATATTTTTAAAGACAAAAAAATTGTAACAATTGTGCTACTGCGTAACCTCCCGAGATGCCCTTTGAACTCAAAAATGAGTTAATATTAGCCTTATGACTTCATATTTTTACGATTCAAGTTTATTTTTAGTTGACCGTTATAAACAATTACTAGTAAGTACTTGTACTACAGACAGAAAAATAATTAAAGAATGTCGTAGAGGATTCTCCCACGTTTTTCAGACAAAACTGAAAACTAAACAAATCAAATTAATTTTAATAAAACGCCTCCAAGATGAAGTAATTATTTGTTGGCGGTCTATTGTTATTTAATCCTTGGGACGTCATCACCATAGGTAAATTTATTTTTAATCCAATCCAAGATTGTTCGATTAACTAACTTCGAAACCAAATCTAAACATCGTTAGACTTTAAACTAATTTTCGTAAATAACGGAAGCTTCGCTGTTTATTTCTAATTTGTAGATTTGTTTACGAGAAAAATGGGTCATTTTGCGACTTTGATAAAGACAATTTAGTTATTTTTAGTGCGGTTGTCTGCAAGAATTGTTGTTAAAAACTCGGGGATAACCGAGAACAAGGAAATACAATGATCTCTGATCGATTTTATCACCACTCCGTGCGTCACTTTTTCGGAATTCAAAGCTATTTAACCACGAGCAAGACAATCTGATTGCCCCGTGTCACCTTGTTTTTTTCAATTATTAATCAATTTACATTTTCTTATCTGCGTTTAAATGGCATTTCGAACACAACCTTCACACTGTTACCAACACGCATATTTACGAAAATTTTGAGGTTTCAAGGCGGCGGAACCTCCCCCCAACCAACAACTGATAAGAAAAAAATCTAATGGTAGAATTTTTTTTAATCGGGACTCCGTTATGTAATATCACAAGCATCAAATGAGATAATATGAGGGTTATCGATTCGTGTACTTAACATGTAAGGACCATGCATCTTTATTACATTTTCGCAAATTTCTTTTACTCAAACGCGTGTGAGTGTAATTACATCAGAGGGAATGTGTTGGAGAAAAAATTAAACATTTGATGCGTTTTCAAAATTTTTTCTAGGCGATTTTTATAAATAATTATACAAGAACGTCAACATGTTTGTTATTTAGTTTGCATATTTCTTTTGTTAGATATTTGGAAATTATTAGCGTAATTAATTACGTGCAGAAATTGCGTTATATTTGTCAAAATCTCGTATGTCCACTGCAAAGCAGAAGAGAGGATAAAAAACAAACTTTTAGAATTAAAGTTACAAAAGATACATTTTTGAATTGATTACCAAATTTAAAAAAGTGTGTACTCGTATGTCTGTAATCTGCAGCTGTTTTAATTAAGAAATTGAAATCTAGTCTAAATTTGAAGTTTCATAACTACGTTATAAGAACGCAAAAACGTTTATAGTAAGTAAAAATCTAACCGCGAAAAGCTATTAGCAATTATTATCATATTTTGTAAATTCAATAAAACTTTTCAAAAACGTTTAAATTATCAAAAGTTAAAAATAAAACCAAAAAGAAAAAAAATATTTCCATTAGCACATTTTTTTCAATTTTTAGCTTGCTCGCACGATTTTGGGGATCAGTTTTGTCACAAACGTTTCTAAAACAGTCTGAGGCGCGTATTTCAAAAGCCATTGCTTAGAGCTTTATTTTTAAATGTGACAATAAGAAAATGCAGGTCACCACGCATTTATGAAATAAACATCGTACCAAAATATCTTAAGGAAAATTTTGATGTTTAACTTTCGTTTCAGAACTTGCAGTTCATCGTCCAAAATCCAATAAAAAGAACCAGTTACACTCTCGAAATAAACACATAAAATAAATTATATCTAATGGTTCAAGTGAAAATAATACATATTTTATTGGTCATAAGATTGATAAAATTGTGTCAACTTAGCAAAAATTTGCAAAAATTTTATTATTCTTTGATCGCAGTTGAATTTTTAAATGATAGATCGTTCGAAGACAGGTCAGGCCATCACCTTGTTAAAATTTGCATTTAAAAATTGAGGACAAAATTCAGTAATCACTTTATAAGGGAAATTAAGAATTTTTCTAAGGCGCCAGACGAGCATTAAATACAAAATAAGATTAAAATTTGCGTCACAAGTTATTTATTATGTGGAAATTCATCTAATTTTTGTTACACTGCGGCCAAATACTAATTGAATATGATATTTTCAAATTCGACAAATATCAGTGTGAAATTAATTAATTACATGAAAACAAAAAAATAAAAAATACTACAGAAAACGTATTCTATTTTAAGATTTTCTTGCTAAAAATAACAATTACAGCGATAAATAAAAGTTCATCGTTGAAGAATTTATTTTTCACTCTTAATTCACGTGTATGGACTGTTAACAGATTGCCATCTAGCGTGACCAATCCTATATTATTTTTTAAAAGATATAAATGTGAGAAGGATTGTTTACTGGAGTCATTTTATTAGAGAGCGCTTTGCGAATTAGTAGCACTTAAATAGTACTAAATTGTTTCAAATTTCCGCATTGGTGTACACATTAACGGCAAGTTATTACTAATTTATTCAATATTTTTTTTAATTTTTTCACAAAATTACAGACAATGTACAAGTCAACTTTCCTGCTGGACATTTTCCTCATCGTTTGCCTATGTCAATCTTGCCTTTCTGCACCCTATCAAGATCTCGCCGGCTCTCGTAATCACCTCAAACAGCCCGACATGAAAAAATTCACCAACCGTGAAACGAAAAAAGACATCTTTATATCCCGCGGATGGGGTGCTGGTGGCATGCCTTTCAGCGTGTTATACATGAATCCGACGTTTTCTTCGTCAAAAGCCCCCGCAACGGTGGAAACCAACTTCCGACCACATCTAAGCTCAGCGTCCAAAAGCCAACGTAAAAGTTTGCCGCAAGTGAGGACTTCGATGCGACAAAAAACTATGAATAGGTCACCGCATTCTGTTATTCCCCAACTCTTCGTTTCGTACGGATGGGGGCCCTTAGGAAAATAGTTCGCTTTTTGTGTTTTTTTGCGTTTTACCCGACTGAAATACCCTGCGTGATTTAACTTATCTAGATTTTAGTTGCAAAGTTATTTATTATTTTTTATATGTGACCACTTCAATGTGAATACAAATACCAAAGGTAAATAAAAAATGAAACCCACACTAAATTCAATTAATTAAACCCACACAACAAACCTATTCTTACGCAAGAACGAAAAAAGTAATCAAATCTTTTCTCGACTCCTTTCTATAAATTAATAACTCGATTTTTTCGTATTAGAGGTTGATTTCGAATACAGGGGCTTAGAATTTCATATTTCAACTTTCTTAATTACGTAACAAATTAATTTTTCGGTCAAATGTACAAAACAATTTGCTGAACAAAACAATATTTTAGATATTTGGAATGAGCGGAAAAATACAATGTACTTTTTGAAAGACTAAAGTTTGCCTCATAAATAACACCGTGAACTGACCTTACTAGAACCTGATGTAATAAAGCAACAAATCTGTCTTTGGAACAGGATATGATATAAATAATAGAGATTTACAAAAATAAAATGAAAAACAATATTTTGTACACCACATTGCATTTATCTGTAACAAGTATTCGTTTTATTATAAACAATTTATGGATTAGACGAAAAACAAGACATTCAAAGAGATAATAAAAAAAACAAACACAAAAAATAAAATACAGAAGACTTGTTTCTTAATCAATATCGGATCAATTGAAAACAAAATTAATTAGTTATTTTCTAAAACGAAACCTAAATTCAATTCTCTGTTATCAGGGCGTTTTTAACAAAACAAATTTAAAACATGTTCTATAAAACAGACCGTCGAAATTAGTTAAAGTTGCTTGTCACTAATATTCTGTGTACAAAACAAGTTTAAAGGTAAATTCGTTTAAATATTTTTGTTTAAAAATCCGCCACTTACCATTCATTTCTTTCATGGCTTTGGTGAAATCAGCTGGATCTCTAAAACTGATAAATCCGTATCCTTTACTTTTATTAGTGCGCTTATCTCTGATAACTTTAGCGCGAGTAAAAGAGGGATATTTGTTAAAAGTCCTGGTGAGGAGTTCATCAGTTACATCATTGCCTAAGTCACCACAGAATATTCTAAAATCATCATCAGGCCAATCATTCATTGAGAGATCTTCCCATGTTTGTCCCCCACCAGTGCGCATTAATTTCCGATTTTTATTGCCCCTTTTTCTGTAATCATCATAACCAAAAGATTGCAATGCACTACTTGCTTTACCTAGGGCCACATTGCATTAAACTTGAGTGAATTTTACAATTTGGACGAATTACCTTGCGAAATGGCCAATTCTGCACTAACTTTTTCACCCTTCAATCGTTTAAGCTTCTTTTCGACTTCTGATTGTAGTGCAATGAAGTCAACTTGTTGTTGATTTGCGGTACTCGAAGCAGCAGCTGCTGCTGCAGCTGCAGCTTGCCCTTGAGCGATTGCAGCAGCTTGTGCAGCTTTAGTCGCACTTGTGTATAATGTAGGTTTGGCGGACACTACAGCAGGTTGGGACGAGTGGGTATACACATCAAAGTTTGATGACTTTTTTTGCTTCACTTGATGAGGGATGAGCAGGGGAGGTGTGGGTGGTGGAGGTATATTTCCGAATGTTGGGAGTCCATACGCGTTCGAGTATGTATTATTCATTAAGGTTTGGCCCGAAATTTCGGCCTCAAATCTGAAAAAACACGCTTTTAGGTTAGGGTACAAAAAAGTGATTTCACTGGACTTACCGGCTCATTTCGTCTTCCATCTGACGAAACTTGTTCGAATTCATTTTGACTTATTTACTTTAAACACTTAATAGATATTTACTGCCTTTTGTGTGAAATATACCAATCGTTAATTGAACGTTTTGTAAACACAGTTCTAGAAAATTGACAACAGTAAAAATTGTCAGAAAGCGAGAATTTCAAATTTGAAGAAAGAGTCCGATATAATGGAAAGTAAAAATAAAAATGAAAAATTTAGACGTAATTTTTAAGCCATGTCACAACAAAACATTGAGATCCTTTAATAGTAGTAAACAAATATTTATTTTGCATTATAAATCGACAAAAAATGCCGTTTCGTAATTTCCGAAATTATGCCAATTTGGATTTAGCAGACAACAGACACCTGCCAACCCAACTAAACATAACCTTAGAATTCGATAACTTATTTCAAAAAGTATTAACAAAAACTATGACCTTGTATCATTTTGGGAACTGTGTGGCATTAATATATGTCCCATACTATCTTACTTATAAATATTCGGGACTGTAAGGCTTAAAGATTAAATTTTCTTTAATAAAATTGGGGCTTTTAGATCAGAATATGGGGCTTTTTGGAAATGTATCCAAGCAGGTTGCATCTACATGTTTACCCAGCTTGCGAAAATGTTGATTTTAGCAACGTTTTTTCCTGATAATGTGTCAGATTTGGGAAGTGATGTTCTTGGGGTGAGATAAAAACCAAGTATTTTCAAGTACAGGATTTATTTTTATAGGAGTTTCTAAAGTCTACAGTTGACTTGGCTGATTTGGTGGGGCTGTACATTGTTCTAGCTGGAATTCCTGGAAAAGGTCATAGTAAAGTATTAACAGCGGGTATTGGGTGGGCTACTGCTGAAGTGATATTATCACGGGCTTTGCTACTTTGGGTGGGGGCCAGAGGGGCTGAATTTGACTGGAAATACATCCAGAAATGTCTTGAATCAAACGTATCATTGGTTCAACACATTTCAACAGCAACTTTAATTTGGTTGTGGTCAAGACATGACTTGAGAAGTAATTTTAAACCAGTGGTTACAGCATTGTTAGTGTTTTCTTCTTACAAACCACTTTTGCTAGATTTATTGTTGAAATTTTTACTAGCAGGGCCGTGGGTGGGTCTTTTCGTTAAAGCTGTAGTCACATTAATTGTTGGAGCATTTACTTTGACAATTTATGCAGGGTTAGCTCAAGTCATCGGTATTTTTTAAAAGTCTGTATACATTTATCATACAAATTTATTTTCTAGACAAAACGTAATTTTAATTTTGTCAAAACAAAACTAAATCACATGAAAATGTTAATACTTTAGTTATCATTTACATGTACATTTTCACTGAAGGTTAATAAACTGAATAAGTAATATAGGGGTACTAGAACAAAATATAATTAAACGCTACAAAAACAATAAATCAATTATTTCGTTGATTAAGAAGTATTACAGTTTGGTGGCCTGTCAAGATCGTCATCGGAACCATCAGAATTCGCCACGCTTTCAGACCCTGACGAGTTCGAGTCGGAGTAAAGTTGCAGAAAATCTCTAACATTAAGCATATTAGACGCCTGAAATCTAAATTAATAACCACATTCCAACAATACTTTATTTTTTACCCTTAGTCTAGTGGTGTTCCTGAGATGTCGCCACAGAATCCACAACATCCTATTTTCGTTAAATTCAGTTTCCCCATGTCCTAATTTCGTTTTTAAATTATCTTTTATTGTGTCACTCAAACCTTCCATTTTTGGTTCCACTTCACAGGAAGGAACCCAAACTTTAACATCCCAATCCAACCCACTGGTACAAATAAAGGGTAATTGGGGGTGTGGCTCCAAACAATTAACCTAAACAAATCGTAAAGAAACCAAAAAACCTCAAAAATGCAACTTACGACTCCATTATCATCGGCAAGCAACCACTGTACAAGCGCTTCGCTATTTCTCTCCCAAAAGTAAATGTGGCCACAATCGGAACCACTGACTACAAACTCAGATTTGGGGCCGAAAAAGTTGACACCTTTAATAGTGGCCCCATTTTTATGACCCTGATACTGATGAATGAATTTCCCAGGTTCAGTATCGTTAACATCAAATAGAAAAACGTCTGATTCACTGTACGACGCCAGAATTTCAGATCCGTTGTAGTTGTACACGGCACAAGTCACGTGGTAATTCCTGTGATTCTTAGCTTTTGCCTGTAATTAATACATTTTTAATTGTTGCGTTATCTTCGTAATTATCACCTTTACAAAAGGAGTGTATGTCGCTGCAGGCTTATTACTTTTTCTTTGGTCATAAACTCTAACAATTGAATCCCTGCCACTAACACAAAACTCGTGCGATTTCAACGGGTGGCCGTGGATACTATATAAAGCTATTGTCTTCGACTCTTCCCTTACTGTAACTACTCTGTAAACAAATTAGTGTGAAAATGGAAAAAGTGAATTAAAACTCCGTACTTGGTGCTTTTGGGGTCTCTAACGTCATGATTGAGAACAGCACCATCTTCGCCTGCGCTTAAAACAATATGGGGCTGTTCTGGCAGCACGATTAACTTATGACAGGGCCCCTTATGTGACCCCAAAAGTCTGGCATTGCGTACTCCTTCCTCCTTATTTACTTGCGCCAGACGTACCTTCAAATTGAGTAATATTGAATTGATATGACTTGACAACATTTACCTGTCCATCTCTGGCACATGTTGCGATATGTAAATCCCCATGGAGGTGCAAAAATTTGCTTTGAAAGACGTTCGCCCTATGTTTAGTCTTATATTTCAACAAGGTTTTACCTAATTTCCAGTCCCAGATGACCACTTTAAGGTCATCAGCGCCACTAGCCAACAATGTACCATCAGGGTGAAAATTTAAGCTATTTACACAACCTGCATGCTCCTCTAATTTATACATTAACTCTAAACGCTGTACACAATGCAGGGAGCCGTAGCATCTTCTTTGAAACAACTCACGACTTTGCAACTTTGCACTGTAACCTAACTGTCTTTGATCAACTTCTTTAAGAACAAACCACTTGTGTTTCGGTTTTTCTTTTTTGAAAAGTGGGTGGTTTTCAATATCAGCCTCAGTATCTGTATCAAGGATAACAGTGGAGTCATCACTGTTGTCACTGTACAAATGAGAGTCTTCACCTGAAGTATCCTCATCCAGGAGGTCTTCCTCTTCAGCCTCATCGTAATCTTCCCAATCATTGTCATCATGATCCTCCCAGTCATTGTCATCATGATCCTCCCAGTCATTATCACCATCGTTTTGAGGTTCTTCCGCAGGTGGAGTCGCCTCTTCCTCTCCCATTGGGTCATCATCCCTATCCCCACTATAACAACTATTTGAGATAAGGTTAAGAAATTCATCTCCTACCTGTCGTCTAAATTTTCGCGACTATTTCTGTAATTGCGATTTCGGGAATTCGGTGTCGTACGAAATGTTACTGCAGGAGCCCCCGAGCGCTTGTACACCTCACCATTTTGAGTGTCAGTACTGGTGCTTGCAGTTTCCTGATCAGTGTTGCTGGAACTTGACTCTTCAGATCTGCCAAGTCCAGAATCGTTTGTTTTGAACCGTTTCGCATTTTCCTTGGATTTGTCTTCTTCATTTGACGTGCTCTTAGTCTTGTTGTCTTTATTTGATTCCTTATCATCCATATTTATTCTAAAAATACATAACGGAGACGTAGTTCCCAAACACATTAACACAGACACTTACGGGAGACGATTTCTCAACGCAACAATTTTACCCACATTTTGTCGATTACTTACCTAATAAATAACTCTGTTTAACAAGAAATTAAATACAGATGGGAAGTTTTTCATAAAATAAAAAGTAATAGATCTGTCAAATTCGGCACAAAAACAAAAATCAAAGTAATGCCAATCTAAGGAAAAATGAAACCTCTGACCCTAACGTTACAAGCCTGGGGACATACTAAAATCCCCAACAATACAAATTAACAATAATTATTTATTTGAGCTCATTTGTTGTGTTAAATAACTAAAACACATACAACTGTATGTAATAAATCAAATAATTTTAATGTTTACGTAAAGTTAAAAGTAAAGCCAAGAGGCAGCTATGTCAACATTGCGATATTTACTATTTACATAATTTACGTCTATGTGATAAAGTTTTTACAATATACCTCAGCAATTTATCTCAATATATTTAAACTATTTCAAATTAAAAAATAATATTGAGTAGGCAACCAAACATACAGAAACCTTTACGCATACTAGCATATCTCATTATAAAAAAACAAAAATCAAAAGTATATAAAAAAAACATGCTCTGTATTTTTTAATAATCTTATTGAAAAAAAAAAAAATAAAAACAACAGAAGCACAAAATGTTTTGTTTCAAGTTCAAAAAAGTAAAGCAATTATTGCAACTTGCAATTTTATCTTAAAAATTTTTATTGTAGGGAGAAACTTTCTTAATTCAAAAACAAAGTAATGCCAATTTAAGGAAAAAAATAGAACTTCTAACACTAACGTTACGAGCTTGGGGACATAGTAAAATCCTCAACATATATTGCAATTTGTAGAAGAAATGGGGGACAAGATTTTGAACACTTATTACGTTGATTTTTTAAGTCTTGTTATTGTATTTTTGTTGAAATAAAAATAACCTTAAAAAAATTTAATTGATTTGGATGTCAAGTTTATGACAAATTGAAAAAAAAACAGAACCAACTATGCTTTAAATTTTTTTAAATAAATTTGAATGATCCACGAAGCTGATGACAATGGTTGCGTTTCATTTTTTGTAAGGCCCATTATTACTCGTGAATAACCCTGTAGTATTAACACAGGTAGTGGAAACCATAGTATTAATCTGATGAAAATGTACTTGATCATTGCAACAATTCATAAACGCCGTAAGTGGCACGGATCAAAAAAAAATATAAACGTAAAAAGGTTACAGTTTGTCTCCATTTATCCTTGGGAAGCTGTGATAAAATTCTATTTAAATTCTAATTAATTAAATTCTATTTAAGAATCATGTATGTAACAAAACTGTTTAAAAGTTTCTAATCACTTCACAGCAAAACAAGAGCATATTTAAAATATTTCAAAATGATAAAAATTTAATGTCAAGCAGGCAACCAAATATACATACAAACTGTATGCACACTTGCCTATCTCAGGATAAAGAATAAAACAAAAATTAAAGAAAGATAGAACTGTGATTTTATTTTAATTACCCAATTAAAAATAATACCAAAAAGACTTAAAAACACACGCGTTTTTTTGAGGTTCTCAAGTTCAAAAAATTAAAGCAATTAACGAAACATGCAATTTTATCTTAAAAATTTCATTTATACGTAAAGCAGGTACCGGACCTTATGAAATGATTGTGTATTATTGGTTGCCTACTTTCAATTTAATTTTTGTTTTATATCAAAGAATCAAGAACAGTTATCAAATTCGCATTATATCAGGGCACTCTATTTTTAAATTACCTATAAAATGTTTTTTTTTAATTCAATACGGTATACCGTTATCAAAAAATCTTAATAATTAAAATTTTCACATTTTATTCAATAAAAAAATATCTATTAACTTATTTAAAGCGGAAATATTTCTCTGGTCTCCACTTACCTTTAAAGAAACACTACAAACATCAAGAAACTCTTCAAGTCTAAATTTGCGGCTAAAAACAATGGAATAAATTTACATGTAATAGGTATACGCCAGCTTTCAGGGGGTCTGGAGCCTTAACTTTAAAAAGAAATATATTGTAAAACTGCGTATTTTTAAAAGAATTCTCTCAGTTAATCCCTTCATAAATTATTAACGGTGATATTTTGATTTTGTTGAAAAAAAAAATAAAACACGAGTACGAATCCTTTTCTTTAATGAAAATAATGTACATGTTATTGCCTAGACCACCATAGTATATTACACGTCAGAATAGGGTCTTATACACTTTCGATATTGTTTCACTAACTTATTACAAATTTGTTGAAATTGAATTTATATTAAGACCACACGATGCACAAAATAATATAAATTCAATCAATGCAACTCTTTGTTTCGTGCACTTTTGATGTTATCACTGGTTGCATTTTCTATGAGACATTTACGCTAAGTACACACATATACCTACTGGATCTAAGCCTATGGAATGTTATAAATATTCAAACATAATGCCACTTAATCATCAAATACTGTAGATTTTAAGTTTTTTACAATTTATAACATTTCTGTTTAAATTTCTGCGAATAAATGCTAAAATTTACACATTGATATGACGTAGATTGTTCGAAAATGTCCACAGACGTTAAAATGACTGTACAGTAAAACTACGTCTTGTACGATATGTGCAATTATGTAAAAAAAGTCTGTGAACATTTTGCATTGTTTTGTCTCATCGCTATACACTTATTTTCCACAAGTACGACAAACGAATATATAATAAAGTTTAATTTTTACACAAGGGGATGATTGTTGCTACTTGTGTAAAAATTAAGGTTTTTGGAATATGTTAAGTATGATAAGATATTCACCTGAGACTGATAAATAACATATTCCAAAATTATCGAAGTAAATATATGTGTGCAAAAAATAATAATTACAAAACAGTGAAGGGGGACCCTATTCGCAAAAATGTTTCAACAATGTCAGGTCTAAAAACAAAAATCTGTGTATGTCAGTCTAATGTTTGTAGAAAATAAAAATAAACATAAAATTGTTAGAAACAATTACATCGTTGATGATATAACGCATAGAAACAATATATCAGTAATATCAACAATCGCTTAATTTCAAATTGTAGGAACTTTTCAACATTTCTAGATTGGTCCTCACTCATAAAAAGAACCACTAAATTCGATTATATACATTGACATACATAAAGAGTAGATAATAAAATTCATATACACTAAATACTAAACAAAGAACTAAGTCTAAAATACTTGTATATTTACCGTATAACATATATCTATCTACAACAATTGTACACAACCGTCGGGTGACATCCATTCAATTATATAATTATGAGACCCTGCTTAACAATGAATGTCAACCGCCAGGTTTTCAACAGTTATATTATTATCGTATCCTCCATTCATCCAAGGTTTAGTCAAGAAAAATCCATCCAAACGGGACCTTAGTTTTCTAGTGACTTGACTGAGTGGAAAAATAATAAAATGATCTCCTATGTACAGTGATTAAGCAATAATAAACAATTTATACATTAAAATATAAAACGGAGACGAAACTAGCTACCCCTAGACGTAAGTATTTTTGGCATAAATAAATGATACAGTCAAAAGACGTTAATTCCGTGGTGTTTAATTAACTAACCTACTTAGGAACTCGTTATCCAACTGGAAGACTGTTAGTAATGTGATGACGACACTGGTGCTTTAACTAAAAAATTAATACAATAAATAATCACTACGATCAAAATATTTAAATGTAACATGCATGATTATGATTTCTGACCGAGATCCAATGACATCTAATGCTTGTATACCGAGAATACTGACGCGAGATGCCTTACGAAGTTTCAGTATAAAAAACCGGATATCTTCAATTGGAAATGTTCCTTAGTCTTTGGCGCACGTCCACCAATTGCACAACAAACGCACCGATCACTCCATGTAGTGATCGGCGAAGAAGTTAACGTGGGGTCATTCCTGCTTGACCATCACGTTGGGGTTGAAGTTGTTGTGAGCGTTGGTCGTCACTAGCGACAAGGGGCTGTTCGCCAAAGAATTCGCGATGGCAAACATGGCCCCGTTGGGGTTGCCGGCACTGCACGGGGAGCCCATCGCCGCCGCCGGTGGGTTTATCCTCTTCTCCTTCTGCCGCCGGTTGCAAAACCACACTCTCACCACTTCCTTCTCCATGCAAAGTCCGTCCGCCAACATCGATATTTCCTCACTTGTAGGTTTGGGGTTTTGGACGAAGGCCTTCTCCAAAGCCACCCGAACACTTGTCTCGATTGAAGTCCGCTTCTTGCGTCGTCTTCCGATGGTCTCGGGGGTGGTCATGGGGTTACTAAGAGCGCCCGGGTTTGTTAAAGTACTATCAGCGTCTTCTAGCCACTTTTGTAGAAGAGGTTTCAACTTGCACATGTTTTTAAAACTTAAGTTCAAGGCTTCGAACCTTGATATCGTCGTTTGAGAGAAGTCGTTTCCGTAGAGTTTGCCCATAGCTAAACCAACGTCGCCTTGGGTAAATCCTTAAATGAGTTTTAGTAGAATTTTGAAGAGTTTTTGGTGATGGTGACTTACCTAATTTGATTCGTCTCTGCTTGAACGTTTTGGCAAACTGTTCAAGTTCTTCTAAGTCGGTGGTTTCCTCCGGCGATGGTTCGAGGAGTCTGGAGGGCGTTTTTAAATGTTGGGGGGTTAACCCCCCCGAACTGGGGGTGCTTGGAGTAAGTAGACTGGCCGGTATGTGCGAATTATTCGGTGGGGTGGTTTGTGTTTGGGGTAATTGCGTATTGGATGGGATACTCGTGTTGTGTTGATTGGAATTTTGTTGTTGAGCTTTTTGGAGTTGTTGCAGTTGTTGGGCCGCTTGAGCGATTTGTTGAACCTGAGATAAAAACGCATGATGAAATCCATAAATCATTCCAGTGGAATCATGCAAACAACACATTAGAAAACGAAATCTGGCGTTGTGTAATTACACGTCGTTACGAATAAAATTATATAAACGTGTTAAAAAAAGGAAAATGCATGCTTTTTAATGACAACAACAGGCGACATTCACACACCTGCATCGAATGCGGTGGTCTTGAAGACAGACCGGATCGGGGGAATCCTTGCAGAAACCCCTTTGCAACAAGTTAGAGATTAATTTATCACGAATTTCGCATTAACGCTTATCAAATATGTGTATTTGCAAATAGAAAAATATTAACTAACCTGGTTTTGTAAAAAGAATTGCGCTTGTGGGTTTCCGCTGGCGGCGCTGGCCTGTTGCAACATCGCCAGCTGTTGGAGTTGTTGGAGGCCTTGCGGACTTTGAAAAGCTTGCAGACTCCCCAACACTCCCAAGTGGTAGCTGAAGCCACCGAGGGCTGCCAACGCGGCGTTCACCCCAGGACTCGAACTCGTCACCTGGGAGTTGGGGGAGGATGCTCGAGGCTGCTCGGACTCGCTAGTCACCTAAAAAGCAGTGGTTACAAATTAACTTGAAGTTTTTAAACCAACATAATTTTTGGGCGTATTGTGGTTTGACACATTTTATTAAATTAAATTAATTTAAATATGCGTTGTAAACCTTCACAATAATCTTTAAATCTTTAAGTGTTCAATGATGTGTTATGATAATAATCTCATAAAAAAAAATGCAGATACCACATTTTGTTTAAAAATATTATTTTGACATCTGCTGATCTGCGAGATAATAAAGTTAGCAGTTGATTTATTAAAAAATACAATGACCACTATTAAGAAATCTGTTTATTATTGCTGCTAATCTTGGTTATAAGATAAAACGATAATAATACTTTAATAAAGATAGTATTCAAATTTAAGCAAAAGTATGTACAAAATTAGGACATTTTTTGAGATTTATACTGTCAGAAATCTTTTTCCCATATGTTTCCTTAAAAAAACATATTGTCAAGATGTTAAATTACGTAATTTTTTTTTCCAAAGTTGTAGATAATTGCAGCAAATCTGAATATGTAATTATGAGAAAAATTTCGTAATTTCACTATTAATTCACTATGTCAAAAAATATCTTTCTTTTTTCAGTTTTTGAATACAGAACAAAATTCTCATTCGATTTTCAAGACAAAAATTGTTATTTTTTTAATACTATTATTCCTATGATTATTTTTTAAAAACAAATTGTCAATGCATTATTGACTCCGAAATTTTCTCCAAAATTGTTATAACAAAACCCGACGTCTACAATGTTTCTACAACTAAAAAAACTTTGTAATAACCTACAAAAATTTCATCAAGAATTTCATATAGAAAGAAAATTAGTGAATAAACAAAGAATGTGTTTCATTATTAGATTAGATTTTTTTGATCAAAGAAAATTATTACCCGAACGAAGATATTATTTCAAATGTCCTTTAGTAGAATAAAATCTGAAATAACTGGTGCTTTATTATAAAAAAATTACAGAAATAGTTTTTTATGTTGGGGTCATGAAGTTACCAAAACGGAAATTTAAATCGTCAAAAGTGTCACATTTATTTATAAAAAAGTAATGTTCTTACGACTTTAACAAAAAGTAAGTTTTTCCACTCTAACTTAAAAGAAAGGAAAGCGGTCAGTTATCTGCCAAAAAGGCAAAAGTTTTACCTCTCTCATCTGTCGAAATTACAATAAAAATATATGTTACCTCCTCCATTAAAAACGAAAAAACATTTTATACTACAACTGGGGTATCATTGTTATTTTTGAAGTTTTTCTTGCTGGATCGTAGGAAAAATAATAATGTATTAAACTTCCTTGTAATAAAAATGACTATTAAATAATATTTTACAAATTTAATGTTCCGTTTAGTTATTGACACTTTGTTTCTTAAAATTAGAACTAAGATTATGTAGGTTTTAAATTTGTTCTTTCAATACGAAAAATTTATTTAAATTTCGGAATCAATAAAATTTGAATGAAACATAAGAAACACTTAAAATGAACTAAAATGCAAACAAAACAATATAAAAATAAAATATTTTCATAAAAGTAATTGTCGCAATTGTGTTTCGAATAAACTAATGATTCGGTTTAAATTACAATAGGTACAATTACTGTTGTAATAAATATAAAACTGAATTATTATCACATATTAATCAATGGTTGCTAAATTTTATTAGGCAATTTAAATTTTTCCGTATGTTCTGAATTGCTGCAATGTGGCAGGCGTTAATTCGTGAATTAAAAAAGAATAAATAAAGGCACGTGCTAAGTATCGAATTAATAATTTGTGGAATGAAGACATTAAATCTAAATTTAGAGGCGAAGAATCGAGCCCAGGTAATGTGTAAGTAAGCTTCGGGTAATTATTACGGGTAATTTAACGGCTAATTATATTCATCCCAAATAAACACAGCGAAAAATTAGAGGTTGTGCCGTCGTTGTGCATTTTGATGCATTCTGAAAATTATGCATGTTTCGAGTCGAGTAGACGATCGTGAAGCTTAAAACACAAATGGAATCAAATTCGATTGTTGAGGGAGAGGTCCCTGAAGAATTTAAACATTTAACTTTTTGAAGGGTGTTATTCGTCTGGGACCGCCCAACTTCAGATTTATATATCTCGAACAAATGTTTTCAAAAAGAGCAGTTTACCAAACAACCCAAGGGAAGAATCGTCAATTATGAGTGTAGTTTGTTTCCGAGTCAATATTTAAAGAAAACTTTAATATTCGTTGGTGTTATTGGTGGACTTACCAGATTTAGGGCGCCGCCCCTGTCCGAGTCCATCGAGTTCTCGTCATTGTGTTCACCTGGGCGTTCGCTGGTGAAGCTGTGCTCGTCCCCGCTGATGTCGCCGTTAACGTCACCGTCTGAAACCAGCATAATGCACCTTTGAATGACCAATTTGCTTGCTGATAACATTGATGCAAATTCTTAAACGATTAATTTCAATATTTCGCCGGTGCATTGTTACGAAACGAGAATAAAACTGCGTGTAGGCAGGACGATAATCGGCGATAACGGCTCGAAAGCTTCATGTGAAGCAATTTTCCAATACATCAGGACGTTGCTGTTAAGTCCTGCATACACCATGATAAGGTAAATAACGCTTCGATAAGCGGGGGGCACTCTGCACCGCCGGCCTATAAGAAATTTCACACCAGCTGAATTTTGATATTTAGGGATGCAGCGGTCACTTCACTCGAATCCATCGACCGTGAAAATAGCTCCAAACTCAACTCAACAGTAAAACGAAGAAAAAATACAATTCGAGAGCAACTAACCAAAATATGATAATCGTATGCAGTGTTAACGCGTGTTAAGGGTTGTAGAATATCAAATATCGCTACGTCACCTAGAGATTGATGAGGCTTCCCCAAAGCCCTGACATTGTTGTTAACGCGAGCAACCCCTAATATGTTAAAATGTGACCGCTTTGTTACCGACACGTCAACCAATCAAAATTTCACAATGAACCCTTTAAAACGCACCCTTTAAGCCGACGCGCGCCATTTTAGAAAAGATTAATTTTCACAAGGCAAAAAACTAACTTTTTAATCACGTGTTCTGCACGAACACATCCCAATAAAAATCATACCCTACTTTTTCTCTTTAAAAATAATAGAAAAATAATTTTAAAATAAATATAATCCACCCAATTAAAGCATTTTTAATAGCATTTCACAGAATAATCTTTAATTAAACAACGAACTGAGACTAAAGGTTAATTATTTTAAACCATCAATAAATAATATTTTAATTCTGCTCGATCAATCAATATTTGTGTCTTATTTATCTTCTTAATCTTTCTTTTAAAGAAAAAAGAGTTAACAGTGCAATGCCCTTGTGTATACATACGAATCAAGTACAAATAAACAAATATTTAAAACAAGCAAATTCAGTAAAAAACACAACTAAAAAAGTAATTCACACTATTCATATACAACATGAATATACTTTGTGAAGAAAACGAAATGCATACTGTTTTAAATTTTATTTGTAAAAATTAGTAAAAATAATTAGCATTAAAAAAATAATTATGAGACTGTGCTATTTTTGTTTATTTTAAAGTATCAAAATCAGAAATCATAATTTGTGACATTTTATTTGCGTTTTTTGAACTCTTAATTGATAAAAAGCAGATGCATTATACAGGGTGATTCTTGTAGAATTAGCAACTTTTCAACTTCCATTGTAGCTACAGCTTTGAAATTTTGTACGCGACCAAAATCAACCATTCTTTATTCAAGTAAATTATTTTAAAAATAGCCAAACTTCCGTAACTACTATAAATTGTCGCCTAGTTTTAAATTTTAAATAGAAACCACTCATTTTTATTATACAGAGTGGTTATAAATGATTTTCATCTAGCCAGCTTTGAATTTTTTTTGCATGTAACTTTATTTGTGTCGCTCTACTTTTTTGAAAGCTCTAGTTCTGTCATTAAACTTTAAATAATAATTGATAGTAATGTATACTTTGGAAGAAAACAAGTATATAATTGAAGTTTATTTTCGAAGTAGATGCTTAGTAAACGGCGATTTTTTAATTTTGAGGTAAAATAAGTAGGTACCCTTATTTTCGTAAAGCGGCATCTTTTAATTTACATGGAAAATTCACAGCTGGCTAGATAAAAATCATTTATAACCACTTTGTACTTTTGAATTTGGCTTCTCATATGAGATTCAAGTTGTTGATACTTATCCGTTACAGTTTTTGTTTTTTTTTTTGTGTTCCAGTTTTTTTGTCGAAATTTGTATTTCTAGGGGTCTATTCAAAAAATCTCAGCTCTTTTATCCATTGCGTTACGTAAATATTTTTTTTGCATTTGGTAACCGAAGAATCTTCTAAAATAGTTGTCAGAAAATCATGTTTAAAACAATGACTCGAAAGAACATCGATTTTAATGGGGACTGGAAGTTGAAAATTTTCTTATGTAGATCTTGTGTAGATTCAAGTAAAAATACGAGCTTGGACAAATTAAAAAGCAACTATAAATACACTACTCACAAAATGCTAAATATATTCAAAATTTATATTGGTAGAATAACATTTGTCAATTTGATAATTTAATTACTAAAAGTTTATTACGACGTCCAAAATGTCCTAAACATAATAACAAGTTAGATGATTCATTTTTATGAATCAAGTTCAATGGTTGCATTCAAAGTTCGTCAGACCTGTAGTTTTATATGAAACACCCTGTGTTTCTTCTAAAGATACAATCAAACGCAAAATCTTAGATGTGTACAGAAGAATATACATATTTTTTTCAATTTTCACTCTCGCGGTAATCAAGAGTAAAAAAAAGACATGCGATGTCACAATATAAATAATTTCATAAAAATTAATAACAAACATTTTTGCTGTGACTTGGTAGTTATGTCAGCACGGAGATCTCAGTGGCCATTAAAGGTGATGATGATTATGGATAGTCAATGTACAAATATTGTCAACTTTCTATTATTTGTGTAATAAATTATGTAATCTCGTTTAAATACCTACAAAAAATTTCAAATCACAGTTTTTCATTTATTTTTAGCTTCAGATAAAACTGACATTCACTTGAAACTTATCCTTTTGGTCGGAACTATTGTCTATTTATAAACAGATACTATCATCGTCCAAAGCTTAATTAATGCATTTTTGGTGCAAAGTCCGCGAATGATCGATGTTCGAAATTGGGCATGTCCACTGGTCTGTCGCGCATTTTTCAGTTTTTATAGAATCGAAGTTGTGTGCCTGAATGGAATATAAACTAGGCATATTCAGATAGGCCTGGTCCCCAGCAGCATTTAAATAGTGTGGATGAAGAATTTTTGCGTCACTGGCTATGTAAAATAGGGTTTGATTTTAAGCCAAAGTTACGTGATTTGAATATTTGAGGAAATCGAACGGTTCCAGTAATAATTTAGTAGGGAAATTTCGTACGACACCTGAAAAAAGCTCGAATCTGAATAGAGTGTATAAAAATCGGAAATATATTCAGATCGCATTCGTAAAACTCTTTGAATAACAAAACAGCAACCACAATAAAAGTATACTACCACATTATGTGAAAGCTCTGCTTGATAGTGGACGGATTTGACGGAGCTTTGCATTGAAGAAAATCGCTCGACGCAGCCGTGCAAAAGCTCGTAATTAATTGGAGCGTGATAATATAGAAAATCACATTAAAAAGTAATTGAACCAGTTACAGGAGCTTAGAGATGAAAGACACGCCGGAGCTTTTCTGATCATCAATCAATCATAACGGATCGTGTTTCAACACTATTCGATCAAACAACATTTAAGAGCGGCGAGGGTGCATTTTAACTGGGAAAAGGGTGTAAACTGGAGTCGGAATGAAAAAACAGACGGTTAATCCATGAAATATCCCGGAATCGATTATCACCCACCGTATGTCATTTTTTTGGAATTTTTTTATTTATTATTGAAACGTCAACAGGCATTTAATTTGAACGGAGGCACGTAGGGATCTTTTATAATTCAACAAGCCGTGGCACGTGTCGCATAACCCCTTGCACGTGGCCATCTTCTTTATTAAAAAGGGTTAAACACTACTTAGGGTTTTTTAGACGCATAACACTTCCTTAGGGTCGGTTTTATTGCGACAAATGTTTTCGCTATGCGTGTGGCCGAACAACGATAAAAATATTTTAATGAGGGTGGGAAAGTGACAGTCATTAAAACTGAAATCTTCATAAAAGCTCGTTAAGTCCCACACAAGTTACATTAACCAAAGTAGTTCCCGGTAAAAAATATCAAATTATACATTTGTAAGAACAGAAGCCGAGCAGTTTTCGCTATTATATTGGAGCGACTTTTAATTTGACCGTCTGGCCGACTTAAGTGTGATCAATTTTATTTCCAGGTAAGAGCGAGTAATAAAACAATTAATTAGAGCCTAGTTCGTCATTAGACGCTTACCGTCGTTGGAAGGCGGCGTCGACGGCGTCTTGTCCATCCTCGTTATAGAGCGCTGCTCACCTGAAACAGATTTTTTCCATTACTCAAATTCCGATTAAATTAGAAGAGCAAACACCAGTGATAAAAACATTCCTCGAACACAAGTAGTTCTACTTTTTCGATTATCGCCGTGATATTTGCATGTGGAGGCAAATAATCCAATATTTTATGAAATATCGCGTGAGGGTTGTATGAATATATCTACGCATCATAAATATTTAAATGTTCATCAGCCGAATGCATTCACCGCAGAATATTCAAAAATTCAAAACTCAATTATCGGGACATGCATGCCCTTTGCATCACAAAAATAATTACAATTTCGTTTCCATATAAATATACATTGGCGTGTATTTTATTTATAAATGTGGAGACATAAGGAGAGCTTTTGCGGCCGAAATGTCCATCTAAGGCGTCTCGGATAGTTTACTTCTTACGACTCCCACGAGGCGCATGACCCCACGCTATTATTTTTCACCCTTAACCCCGGCTTTTGCATATCCCACTCTACGACGCTATTTATTTTTTCAATTATTTGAGATAATTAATGAAATGTGCCCGAAAATAATTACGAAAATCTGTGTTTGTCATTTCGCTATCAAATAATTTAACGGTTGTTACATTCAATAAGTTGGGAATGGGACATGTTATTTTCCAAATTAATGGCAAGTATTAGCCAGGTTATTAATTTATTAAATGACTGTTCTCCCCAATAAAAAAAATTAACGATCTAGAAATTGGCAATAATCGTTGATAATTGCTAAAGCAATTTATTGTTTGATTTTGGTGGTGATTAAGCAGCCCTCAGGAGCAGAAATCGCCGCGAAATAAATTGCAAAAATAGCAGCAAAAATTCAATAAAGGTACTCACCGATTGGGAAGTGATTAGGTGCGAAAGTACTGAAGAAATCGAGGTAATTTCTGTGCGGCATATTTGTAAGAGATAATAAAGATGTCATACTGTCGATATTCGGGTTAACTGAATATTAAAAAGAAATATTTACTATTTGTACGTATACGTGAGGTATAATTAAGCTGGTTATCGATAAGACAAGATAAGTAATCGAATCACACGTGGAAAAAATTTCAATTTTATATTATAAACAAGAGAGTGTAGGTAATCATTAAATAAATTAAAGCACTGGTTGCCAACATAATCGGCAAGAGAAAACTCAAATGATACATTTTCCGCGACCTTTACCGAGGTTTTCGCGGCTGCTTCATTTTAATAGTCGTTCTTAGATCGAGTTGAGTTTGAGACTGACAGGGTGGTCAGTGGTCAGAGTCTGATATAGACGCTAATACATTCACCCTCTCGCTATGCGATCCTCTGCATATGCTCGCTTGCACCCTACTCAACACATGTAAAATGTCTTACTGCAACTTTCATACTTTTAACTATTTATATCAGATCTTAGGTAAAATTTATTTGAAAGTTGACATAGGTATCAAGATTTTTTTAAATGATTACAATTATCATTTTTTTTAATTTCGTGATAATTAAGTCTGTAGACTTAATTTCATGATCTAAAGTGTAAACTATTCCAAGAATACTTTGTCATGTTTATCAATCTTAATAACAGATTAATGCCGCCAGTAAATCAATAAAAAACACTATTTTCTTAGTCTCTTCGAAGTGATGATTCTATTTAAATACTGTTTGAATATTTCCAAATAGATAACAGGTGCTTATTATTATCAATAACAGATAAATATGTTCTGGATACCTAGATAGCATTATTTATATTTCAACATAAGTAATATTAAATAAAAATTGAAGGATAAATACTAGAAATAATCCTTAATACGAGTAAAATAATTACAAGCAATAAAACCTTATCGATTATTAGTTGCCAACTGCGATGACACAAATTTTACACTTCTCTCGACTCGTTTAAGGTATGCTCATGAAAATAGACTGCGATTCCAATAACATCTACAATATAGAGTGTCCCAACTAAAACTTTCGGATCTAGTATCTCCATTATTTTCCAACAGATTTAAACAAAATTTAAAATAAGGATTACCTAGAAGATATCACGTTACTAAAAGAACCCTAACCCCTAAAATGTGACTTTAACACTTACAAGAAAAAAAGAATAAAATTGTTAAAAGTAGCTGAAGATGCAAAGACATAAACGGCTATATAAAATGGTACTTGAAGACGTCAGCAATGGTTTTAAAGTTAACTTTGATAAAATTCTTTCATAAAAAATAAGGTCAAAAATTTAACAACATAATTGACGTACATATTTCTGCTGATTGGGATAAGCAGTTAAGTTATTTTTTTGTGTAGAGCTCTATTTTTTAGTGCTTGACAATACAATAATAGTTTCATTTAATTTTAATTTTAGGAAATATGTGCCAAAAATATTTTATCATCTTGTGGTAATTTTATTAATACCAATTGAAGCTTCTAAATTGTCTACATTTTAAATTTCATAAAAATCCGTTGGCAAATAACAGAGATATTAGACACAAAAGTCTTACGTGAGACACCCTGTATGATAGCTTTTGTGTACCTTTAGTTCGATAATTGCTAAGGTAGAATCTGATTGATGTGATTGAAGTTGCTATGGTTTAACTGAGGTTTAAATTTATCTCTCCATTAAATACACTGTGTCAATTTTAAAACTTGCAATCGGCAATTTCTTTGAACTGAAAAAGTTATTAATAATCAGTTAAAACCGTTTTGGTGGTTCCTAGGGGGAATTAAAATAACATGATAAGTGACACACCTCCACCCACCCTTGAATATAGTAAAAAAAGGAAAATTTAACGTCTTCGTTTTTGATTAATTGGAAAAATAACTTTACCAAATAGGCTGTTGTATGACATTTTTGAAAAGCGCTTGTTATGGGCTTTCCAACGATGTATCGCAAGTAGGGTCGTGCCATTTAAAATTTTCAACTTAAGGTGGCTGTGGCTTGAAGGGTGGGTGGAGGAGCGTCACTTACCATGCCATTTTGATTCCCCCTAAAAACTACCGAAACGGTTTTGAGCGATTCTCAATAACTTTTTTAGTTCTAGAGATATTGGCGATTGCAAGTTTTAAAATTGACACCCTGTATATTTCCAGAAACAGGGCAACTTATGTTAAAGTAAATGTTATTATAATTTTTGATACGTTTTGTTAAAATAATACAAAGACATTATTTTTTATACACGCTCCCAAAAGCTATTTTACGGAGTTATTTGAAGAAATAAAACAATTTTGGAAAGCTTAACAGCCAAACGAGATTTCAACATTTTTATAGTACTTTGTCATTCTCCGATGTTTTGATCAAAAAATTCTCATAAAAAAACAATTAGTTCAATATTTTTCAATATTTTTCGATTTGATCACATCAATTTAGCATAAAATATTTACTAATTATTAATTAATAATTTGCTTTTTTTTTTTTCATAAAAATGCATAAAATACACCTGTCTAAAAACCTACGCTTCATATTTTGAGTAGATGTGATATGAATCATTTTTGCGCATAAACGCAAATTATCCAAATAATGATAAACGATGGAAAGAAAGTATTGATAATTAAAAAATCGTGTAGATATTTAAAATAAAAATCTCAAATATGTATATACAGGTATGAAATTAAAAATTTAGGCAACTTAGAAAGTGGAGATTCAATTAGTATTACCAAAATTACCCCAAAAATTTAATATATTTTTCTCAATTTAAAATTAAGAGAAACTAATATTATATTGTTAAGCACTAAAAATAGATCTCTACACAAAAAATTAACTAAATCACTCTTCTGAATCAGCAGAAATACGTCGATTATGTTGTTAAAATTTTGACCTAAATGTTTTTACATCTTCAGCCACTTTTAACACAATTTCTTTCAAGGACAGATTTTTTTAAAGGCATGTTAAAATCACATTTTAAATGACAGAATTGTTTTAGTGACACGATATTTATCTATACTTACTAATTAATCTACACTTTAAATTTCATTAGAATCCATTAGAATCCTGTATATTTTTATAAACATATTATTTTAACTAGTCTAGGTGAGTTTTTGATGCGCTATATTAAAATAGTGAGTGAGATTATTATTACCACAAACGACGCTATTTCAACAAAGTGGTGGGAAACTTTATGTATGCTGTATGTGTTTAAAATTTAATAAATTTCCTTACAAACACTCAAGTTTTTGAGAACATTTTTTGATAAAAATTGATAATGTCATACACAAAATTTCAATTTATCTAAATTGAATTTATTTCACTAATTTACAACATTATCTGCTAATATGTTGTAATCTTTAATAAAAAAAAATATGGACAATCTGAAGTACGTATGTATTCACAAGTATGCACATATTTGAAATATTTAAAATATTTTAAATTGCCAGTTTTATACGTATAAAAAACGTGCAAAGTATATTTTTAGTCAGTTTATATTAATAATTGAAAAAATGTTAAAAATAAAAACAGTTTGTTAATAATGCTAGTCCACTACTTTTGTTATTCTTTGCACTTCATTCGATCAACATTAGTCATTCTCTTGAAATTGAAGCTTTATTTAATCTAGTAAATGAGATTTAATCTAATAAATAATAGGTGTTATTGTTCTAGAAATATCACTAATGTCATAAATATTTGTGTTACTCTTAAATGCTGATGTAAAAATAGTGGAAAATTAGTAAGTCATCATATTTCCTTATCTCAATGATGTGTTTCCGTTCCATGGAACAACTTCCCAAAAAATACAGATTGTGAATAAGCAACCAATTTCACAAACCTTTCTTGGAAAAATTATCAGTATTAATAACTGTCAATTTAGCAAAAAGACATTAAAGCTTTCATGAAAGTACAGATAGAAAACTTTGAAACATTAATTAATTTAATTAGTAAAGTTTCGAACATTTACCGAGCGCAGTTTCGTTATTTACAGCTTCAATATTAGATTAAATATTTCAGTTCTTTTAAGATGTTTCATAACAAAGTTCTGGCCGTTTCGATGTAATTAATAGAAACGTATGCGACCGGACTGAAGGGGGCAAATTTGAACAG